GGCGCAGTCGTACCCGTACCCGATAGTTAGTGTCTTGGGCTTAATCGGTCATCTGCAAATGCGCACCGTACTAGTACAATTGGAAAAACGTACTAGTAACTTTTAGTACCTTTAGTACTTCAGATTTGTGAGAACACAATACCATTAATAAAATATAACAAGGGTTATAGATTATTTCACATCAGATTTTAAGTAGGGTCAAACATATGTTTATAGCGAAAATAAATTTAATTCATAAATAATTTTATCCACTTTTGATTCTCATTACTGAAGGTGGTTCTATTTGGCAAATATTTAATCAAATCAAACAACAAAGAGGCTAATAACGATATTATGTAGTACTGTACTAAAAGTACAAAATGTCCGATTAACAGAAGCCATTCGGTAATGTTACTTTTAGTACAGTGCCGAGTAACATTACTTTTTAGTACATCGTACGCGTACTACCAAGACTAATAGTTAGCCGCATCCCTTCTACTCTCGCGCACACACGTATACCCTCATAGAATCTTCCGGAGGCTCGTTTCACGTGTTTTCGTAGCTTTTTATGTGTATGTTATGTTAACATTAGTATTATAAACAGTAATTGATTCATTTTTCGTTTCAGGTGAACTTCCCACAGAAACTGCTGTGACAGCCAATGTGGTAAAAAACATGGACGAATTATTCGATAGTTTAAATAGCGACAGAGAATATTTAGAAGGAGGGAAGAAATTATTAATCAACCTAACTGAAAATTCACCACATATCGATCATTTAAAAAAAATGACTAGATTTTTTCAAAATATCTTATTTGTAGGGTTCGGTCGTCCTCTTCCTGTACAGGAAGGGTGGGTGTGGACTCTTACGGGGGTCCAAATGTTGTGGAATAATATGAACAAAAAACATAACATTAAGTACTTAAGCACTAGACGACTTCAGATGTATCCACTAGAAGATATGTTTAACTGCCTAAGAGAGTATTGCGGCAATCATAATCCCACAACGGCTCAGTTTATAGCAGGATATAAAACTGCACTTGTTAGTAAATTGACTCGCCCCGGAGCTGATCAGGATGACATTAATGATCTAATTATAAAGGATTATGAAATTCTAATAAAACCTCCTTGTCTATGGGACTCCAAAAAAAATTCTATCTATAATGATTTACGGAATAGAAAATTTAAAGAAAGATTAACTACTAGGAGTGTTGAAATGGAAGCTTGTGATTTTGTAAGCGAATTTATTTTTAAAAATACACTAATAAAAGACTGCGTGATATGTAAGATGTGTCTATTTGCACGTAATATTCAAAGAACAGATATCTATGTTGAATTTATAGATTACTCAAATCCAAAGCATTCAGTTACATATACATCGGAAGATTTTATTCATGCAATTGAAACCTCCGCCGGTCAAATAAATGTTTATTTACACGATAATTACTGCAAAAGAAATTTAAAAAATGGTATATCAAAGTCATTGGAGGTTTTTGAATTTCTAAAACAATGTACAAAGCACTATGAGACAAATTTAAAGGATATACTTGATGGAACTTGGCACATTTGTGTAGAAAGATTTTGTGTTGATAGAAATAGAATGTTTGCCGAAGAGGCATCAAAAGTTAAAAGTAAAGAAATACTGAATCTGTAAATACAATTATAATTAAATAGTATGTTTAGTGATTATTCTGTGAGTTGTAAAATATATATGTTTGTAGTTATAAATGTATTAAATACCATTATATTTATGTCTAGCTTCGCCTGTCCCGTTGGGTTGCCTGTAAGTTATCGCCGCACAAATCTTGAAGTTGATAAACTTTTCTTTTAGTATACCTTTTGTAATGCTTGTAAATTAAATGTAAAATCAATATATGTTAAAAAAATCTCACTCAGACACTCCGTATTTTTTTTATTAAATTCAATTTCTTGTTTATGGTTCTCTCTTGGAGGGATTTTTTTTGTTATTTTTTTTATTTCTAAGACATTATATGACAAACACAGACTATGATAGTGATAGAAAATATTGTTTGCATCTTACGATATGTGGAAGTTAGCTTCAAGGTCGCGTGATGTAAAAAAAATAAAAAATTTAATTGGAACTTCACAGAGATAACTAACCTGGTTAATAAAAAAGTTAATTTAATGAGAGCCATAAAATGGGCAAAAATATGCACCAAAGTAAAGGAAATAGAGATCGATAGGTGTAAAAGTGATTATGTGGTCGATTTTATGAGTGAGCATCGACTATACTACGATGTATGCATTCGATTGACGTAATTCTTTTTTTGTTTGATGCGGATTAGCTGCCATTTGGTCCCACTTTTTACTAACAAGGTTATAAACTTTGTAGTAGTATTTGAGTTTTTCTAAAAAAAAGCGTATCAAAAGTCGGCAAAAAAGCGTATAAAAAAATTTTTGTCTTATTTTCGTTTTTGTTAAAAATGTGTGTATAAATGTTAATATTAAGTGTCGGCGCTACTACACAATTGCAAACGTATCAAAATAAAATAAAAACAATTTTATTACAACTTATTTCACACTTTTGTTTGATTTTACATATACTAAATACTAAATAAATTATTTGGTGGTAGTAAACAGCCCGCATTTTTTAACAATAGCCCTAGATGGCGCTGGAAACAATTTGTCCCCAGCAATTTAGTAACCATAGATAATACAAATATCATCTTCGTATGGTGGAAATCTAAACAACTGACATTTTGGTGCAAATGCGTTTTTGTCTTATTGTTTTCTTATCGAACAAAAAAATAACACACATTCTGGATGAGCTGTATCTTGATTGCTCAAGTTCCAAAAATAGCCATTTTTAAGTTTCCGCTGGAAAACTACCTTCATAGTAAGACTACACAGTAGAAAGAAAAGTACATAATCGATAAAAAAAAAACTGTAACGAATGGACCTCAAATAAATCTAGGCAAATTAATTACCATTCGTAAGGTATATAAATAAAACCCTCAAAAAAAAAACAGTAAATCGCGTTTTTTCGAAAGTTTGATTTTTGGAGTTGCATAGTTTTCCAGTTTCCACCTACATTGTGTTCTGTTGTTTGATTTCATTGCCTTGTAATTAAATAATTAAATTATCAAATATGTAAAGATAAAATTGATTACATTTTTATTGTACTTAGTTTTCAGTGCAGCTTTTTACAATGTCATTAACCAGTGCAGCTGGGTTAGTAATATTTCGCTATACAAATAAAGTAATACAATTTCTCCTATTACAAACTTCATATGGCCAACATCATTGGACTCCACCGAAGGGTAAATTAATATTTTTATATCCTTAATCCACAGTGCAATTTATTAATTTTAACAACACATAATTTAAATTATTTCCAATGCCTAGGTCATGTTGATCCTGGTGAATCCAATTGGGTAACAGCTTTAAGAGAAACTAAGGAAGAAGCTGGATATGCAGAGAACGATTTAGAAGTAAGTTTGAAACATGAAAAAGTCTTTTCCTTACCAAATGTTGGGATTAAGTGTATCATTATTAAATAAAATACTCTTTATGTATTTGATCTCTATGCAGTGGACTTAAATATGAAATCCATGTATATAGATCATTTTTGTAATACATGTTAAGTGTAATTTATGTTGCTCGTTTTGTTTCCAGATCTATAAAGAGGTATCTTACACACTTAACTATCAAGTTAATCAAAAACCTAAATGTGTTATATACTGGTTAGCTAAGCTGAAAAACCCAGATCAAAGTGTGACATTGTCTGATGAACATCAGGACTACAAGTGGCTGCCATTACAACAGGCCCAGGAGTTATCGGGATTTGATGACATGAAACTCTTGCTTGCAGACTTTCATGAAAAAGCAATCAAGCTTGTGTAAAATAAAATAAACAATAATCATTATGTTAATGTTAATGTAATTAAACAATAAAATATTTTTTTTTTGTTAGTAGTTATTAGTTATTTGATTTTATATATTTCTATTTATTTCCAATTGTATTTTATAACTTAAATCACAATATATGAAACTAAATGAGCTTAAAAAATTGTTTGACATCAAAGTACAACTTCAAGGTTTTACTAAATACTTTATTAATTCTATTGCAACAGTATGCAATAGACATTTCTTTAATTTTGGCCTATCAAGGTATTTGTAAGAAAATCTCCCTAAGTTAAATTAAAGTCATTGTTAATCATGAATCTGTTCATATTGGATGTTTTGAGACCACACAGGGTCGTAGAAGACATCTATGGCTTATTTAGTACTTATATCGCTTAAAATTATTTTTAAACTTCATTATAGTTTCTGAACGAAAATTGTCAAAAAAAAACGCTAGTTTGACATTGACAGTTGACATATTTCAATGTTTGAGTCTGAAGTTAAAGTCCGTTTCTTTTGCACAAATTTCCTTTTTAATTGCGACTTTTATTGATGTGCTTTATTTTTATTCAAGAATTCAGTAGTAGAATATTTTTCCGATCACAACAATAATTAAATAATGTAATTCGTAATAGTTCTTATCGTTTAAACTACTTTTGAAGACAGAAGAATATTTCCCCCACAGTTTGTTTTTCTGTTAATTTTTGTAAATTATTTGAAGTTATGGTTAAAAACTCAATTAAATTCTGTATTATTCACTCTACGAATACAATTTAATATTTCTAGAAGAAGAGTATAAACGATTAAAAGTTTACAAATATGAGTGAAGCAGAAAATAACGTTCGTAGTTCAGATAATTCATCCGAATCTGATAAATCTCCGAAATCATCAGAAAATGTCACCAAATCTAATGTAAGAACAAGACTTCGGAAACGAAAGCGGTAGGTGATATATTTTTTATTTTTGCAATCAGAGGTAGTGGCACATTAATATTAGTATATTTAAAAGTTATGTTTATTATTTTATTTTTACATTTCCAGGCTGGACTCGAGCAGTTCTGAAGGTGATGATAGTGTTCTTGCAGAGAATTCATTCCAAATGGAAAAGAATGTTCATGCCTCAGCTATCAAAAATAATTTAGACGATGTTAGTGTTAAGAAGATACTTAAGGTATGTTTGATGCAACAAAAAATTGTTGTGTAATTTTTAACACATTCAATGCCACTATAAAGTTTCTGTATGAAAATGAGCCGACTAAGTGAATAAGTGGCTCAGAAAGTGTTGAACAAAACAAACAAACAATATAGTATATTGTAATTATTTGTTTTAATGCTTTACAGAAAGTGGTCACAAATGATCATGTTTTGGCTCTTGTAAAATTAAGAGAAGAAGAAGAATCTATTATGGAAGAAAAATTCAGACCTAAATTAACTAGAGCCAAAGTTAAGTATGTACTTTTTTTATTATTACCATTACATAGTCAAATCATCAAACTCAATGATATGAATTATGTATTATTGGTTATTTATTTACATTAATTAAAACTATAATTAAACTATAGAAATACATTCTCTCACCAATGTTATTTTTCTTATAGAGAACTGATGAAGGATTTACCGAAATCATCTGGATGGAATTTAGAGAATTTGGAATTAACACCAATCAAACATATTCCTGTGAAGACACGACCTGAGGTAAAGGCTCTCATAGCCCAGGAGTTGCCGGAGGATGAAGACGATGATGAGTATCATCCCAATCACGATGATGTGCAGGTATGTTGAGCATTATAACATAACTCACCTGTAACCCAGAGGGGTAGACAGATACTATGGGCTTGCTTCTTCTGCTCTTGTATCTTTATACATCAACATTTGTTTTGGTTGCTTTTGGTACTGCCTATTTTGATTATTTCATCAACCTGGATTGTAAATAAATAATTACTATGAAAATTGAGGTAATCAAAGAAAAGAATAATTGTGATCTATTTTAAATTGTGAAATGTGTGATACTAGATCCTCTAAATTTTTATGTTTATGTAAATCACATTTTTTGTAATTATTATTTTTAGAACTACAGTAGAACCTTAATAAGTTAAAGTCCAAGGGAAACACAAAATGTTTTAAGTTAACGAGGGGCTATGTTGTAGAGGTTTTGGGCTCTGATGAGAAGGGAACATATTATTTTTTGAAGTTATAGAGGTTTTTAAGTTACCGAGGTTTGAGTTATCGAGGTTCTACTATATTATATGTAATCCTAATTTTAGAGTGATGATGAACATACAGTGGAATCAAGTAGTGATGTAGACTCTCTGCCGAGAACACCAGCAACTCCTAAATCACAGAGTCTCGTATCTCCGAAAGTTGTTAAAGATGGTCCATTCAAAGTACCACAAGTAAGTTGGAATTACTACTACTGTCTAAGTTATGTACACAGATATAAAAAATATATAAGAAACATGTTTATCTCAGCTATATTGTAGTTCTGTGTAAGTACTGCTAAGTATTTCTTTTGACTGTCTAATTTTATTTCACTTCTTAAGAAACTCTGAACGTGAAGATGTATAGATAACTATTTTATTAACGGTTCTGTAACTGTTAATAAATCAGAGAATTCAAAATTAAAATTAATAACATCATTTGCAATCATCAGAACAAACTAACACCATCGCGTCGTAAATTAAATTTAGAAGAGGAAGCGACAATCGCTCTCAGAACTAGATCCAAGTTAAGTTTATCAGCAACACCAATAGAGCATATAGAGAGTTCCTTCATCCCTCCTGATGATGTACCGACAGTGGATGTGGACGATCCTGTATGGAATGAGTTCTTAGAGGAATGCCTCAACCCTGCATCCGCGCTGGTGAAGAACGAAGATGATGATGAAGCGGATCCGGAGTATAATGTTGCTGCCGACCCTGATATACGTAAGTTACGTCACATCACGGTAATAATTGTTTTAAAAACGAACAATCTTGAAATAAAACTGTAAACTGTACTTTGCCTGTAGAAAGTGGCAACATTATTCACACATCTACAAACAAATCAGGCCTCTGTTTTTGTCATGCGTCTTTAAGGTGAAATTTAAAAGGAATCTTTAACTTCAAATATTACACAATAAACAGGACATTGGAAAATATTAACCATAATAGATCTACTAAAGCTGAAGTTATGAAGTGAAATATAAAAAAATCCTGACAAATTAATAACTTCTTTCTTATGAAAAGTCAGTTAAGAAGGATAGATTTTTGTAATGAATTAACTTTAAAACATGTCGATTTAAACAGTCAAAGAATTAGATTTACTTCCCGTTGCTCTCGACTTTGTCCCTGTGGGTTTAAAAAAAAATTGCCAATGTCATTTATAACATAGCTTTTTATTGTTAAAAGAATTTTCGAAATAAGCACAGTAATTTTTCAGTTATTTCAATACATACAAAAATAAAAATCTTTCCTCTTTATAATCTTAGTATAGATAAATGTCCTAGACTATAAATATTTCCGTACTAGCTGTTGCTCGCGACTTCGCCCGCGCGAAATTTAAAAATAATTAAAATTATAGCCTATGTTACTCACAGATAAATTACCTTTCTAATGTTGAAAAAATATTTAAAATCGGCCCAGTAGTTTTTGAGTTATTTCAATACATACAAAAATACAAATCTTTCCTCTTTATAATATTATTTCCAATATACAGATGATGATGATGAAGAAGTGTTAGACAACAGTATAATAAAGATTTCAAAAAAGGAACTGAATGATCTGATGACGGAACTGTTCAATATCATGCCGGAGCCATCTGCTGAGGAAATCGCTAGTAAGGTTGCTGGAAAACATACTTTAGAGGTATGACTATTTTTATATACATTTAATACTTAAATCATATAATATATAATAAGAAACATGTAAATATTATAAATGCGAAAGTTTAGATGGATGGATGGATGTTTGTTAGCGTTTGTAGCCCAAACGGCTGAACGTATCTCCATGATATTTGGCACAGGTTTAGAGCATAGTCTGAAAGAACACATAGGCCTAATTTTAGTCCCTTTCTCTTT